TGGGAGGGAAGCTTCAACCCCAAAGAACTGATTTAAGCTATCAACTGTAAACAGGTTTTCTAGTGCAGCCAACTTATCTCCAGAATTCAGAAAACAAGAGAAGCACTTTTCCCAACATCTGACAAAAAAATGGAAATTTTAGTGGCTTCTCATGACAGAAAGTTAATGGCACTGGAAATGCTTTTTAAAAGAGCAGCATCRCATCAGACTTTGAATTGAAATAAGTGTCTATTAAATGCTATTAAAGTCATCAGTGTGATTAACACTACTCAACTGCCAACTCTGCTGTAACCACTCCGTGCCCAATTACTCATCTTCAGGGCTCACCATCCCCTCCACTCATTAACACACTCCACGTTTACTCACGGCAGCACTTGCACAGTGACCAGGACCTGCAGAGGCTGGGTGCTCCCTCTTAGCACTGCTTTACATGGGAGGCTGTTTGCAAAAATCCATTTAGTAGCATTAGCTTCCAAGGCAGCACTGAGGGGTCACAGTAAGTCACCCTGGACACTTTTAGTGCCATTYCTTCCTTGGCTCTTTGAAGACAGAGTTACCACAGCTGAGCTCTGCCTTTTTAATGGGTGTGTTTCTAATTCTTTCAAGCACTGGTATTTCGCTCTAAAGAACTGACATTTGTAGCTCTATTTTCCAGCCCACTTCCTTTTTAAAATAGGCATTAATAATACTTAAATGCATTCCTGTCTCTCTCTTTCACTCCTCCATCACTCAGAGGGTGGATTTTACTTAATCTCCCTCTGTTCTAAAAATTTTCCAGCATTTCTATCATCTGTATTCTCCAAAAAAAAAGCCAAAACGAACCCCCCACAAATGTAATTTGTAAAATTTTMGTCTTGTCTCTGTCAGACCCAGAATATTCACAGCCTTAGGTGTGTGTCTATGTAAGAAAGGATGGGAAAAGGAAGGGAAGGTAGAAGCATGATTTACCCATCAGCAGAAGTGATGTTGGATAACTACAAAGCAGAACAACTGAAGCCAGTGTCCAATCAAACAACAAAAGAATTTAAGTGCTCTGTTTTAGAAATTCAGGCTCCTTTGAAGGYCAGTTTTTCTTCTGCTGAGTGCTAAAAATGCAGCAGCAGACATTTATTTGGAGTCTAGAAAGACATAAAAATTATTTATCATTTGTCTTAAATCCTTCAGCTAATTTCCACAGCTTCCGCCCAAACAGTATTTGGGATTTTCCTGTAGATGACATGYTAGGAATTACTTATTCTAGTGATGGGATACAAACTGCCTTTTTGGATCCATYGCAAATTCTGCAGACCTGACCAGACTTTTTAAAGCTAGCAAAAAGTCTCAGAAAATGAGAAATTGCTTWTAATCCACACTGCAATCTGTATGAATTCTCAAAGACTGTGCCTATCCATTTATATCTCAAAGAAATAAAGTACTATGTCAGTCAGAATAACACACCTRTAAGGGAACAGCTTCTCAGAATGCAGAATTTCTTCCCTAGAGCATTGCTTGAGAATTAGATTTCGTGATCGCCACAGAGAGCTTTCTAAAGGCCCACTTCACTTAGCTCCCATAAAACAGAAATTATCAAATTTGAAACAAAAAAGGATATTCTCACATAGCTGCAGGCATCCTTCAAAAGACCTTCTTTCCTCTGTAATGCAAATCTGCCCATAAAGATTGAAGTAAAAGAATCATTACAAAGAGTTTGGCCTGTTCATTCACCTCCATCTTTCAGGAAATCTGGCAAATTTCAGGAACTAAACCATACCACGGACCTACCAACATTTCACACTCCCCTTCATAAATACAATAGCTTCTACCTCCCCRGATAAACCTCAGATAGCAATGAAATCAAACAATTCTGCATGATTTTTACTATACTAATAACTATTTCAAAGATACCAAGAGGCACTAGTGGTCATCAGGATTTAGCACAGAATATCTGGGCTAGAAATCAAAGCAACATGAGTTGATAAATCCAAAGGCATTACTGCACAAGTTTAAGGACTTCCTTAACTGGAGTAGGTTCACTACAAACATTGATGTCCACCCCACAGGCTGCCATAATGGAAATCCTTCCACGGATCTTTTAGGACACCAAAACAAAGGATGGAAAACTGCTTACAACCTTCTTAGTAGAACAGCTCCTGTGACAAAACAAGGCAGGCACTGTCTGAGCTGCTGTGTAGTGAGAGGAGCTCACTGAGGGGCTCCWACATTAAAAACTGCAGGATCTTCCACAGTAATTCCAGTAAACACCTCGGGTCACATCAGCAAAGGATCCAGAGACTGCAGACACAGACAGCGCTGCTCTGTTCTTCCTCTGAGCCATCCCAGCTCTTCCACCTAAACTTCCTCCCTAAGCAACATTAATGCTCACCATATTTTAACCAACAGGACTGACATATTGCAACGACATGTGCTTCTAAATGCGGCATACAATCTTGCTGCCAGATGCAAAGCACTTTTTGTTTAGACACTGAAATTAATARCAAATTTACCATTGAGCCTTCAGATCTTGTTGAGCCCCGCTAGCCAGGCAAGACAAAACACAACCAGAGGCTCTAGCACGGTCATGAATAGAGCAGTTGTGAAACACCCCACATATTCATTACAATTCTTTCATCTTCTGAGCTTCACAGTTCCTTAGAAAGTTATTCAGAACCAAAAGGTTCCTCAAGTGYGGCCAAATTAACTTCCTTTAACAAAAAGTGTTACTAAACTGTTTCTAGTTTGTGTCACTAAATTTTCTTGTGAAGGACAGAAGTTACTTGATTTTAAATTACTAATTACTCAGATTGTTACTTTATGATTAGCCATTTAGAGCTTTTTGCACAGGGCAGGGAGTAAAGTCACACTGAAGCTTTTACTACAAGCCACAACATTTGGCAACAATGAAAGAGATGTTTTCTCGAAACCTAGTTACCACTAAAATAATTCACAAAATGGAAACATTTAAGTGCATTAATGAAAAAGTCACATTTAAAAACCAGGAACTGGCTCACCAGAATAGGACAGGCAGCCAGCAATCCTTGGGTGAAATATTTAAGGCACTTGAGGGTTGTCAGTTTTTTTACACCAGATAATGAAGACAGAGCCACTTTAGAATTCCAGTTTAAATAAAAAACACAACAAAATAAAGTAACACTGCAAAACATTCCTCCAAATGTAAAATTCAGAAAATAAACAAACACAATAAAAATAAATTTCTCCTTTGTTATAGCACACAAAATAGTGGCAGGAAGAACACATTTAYCTGCYTGAGCACACAAACCATTAAGATCTCTCTCAAACACCACAAGAGGGGTCTTTCTTTGCAGGTTGCCAAATAACCAATAAACATGTTTGTTAGMGAGAAATAATCCAGTGCAGTTAAATATCAGATTCCAGTTTATAAACCAGAGCATCCCAGAAAGCAGTTGATTTTCTATCATTTTCCCTGGGATATTTCTAGGTAGTTTCCCTGCTTTTTCTGGAGTATCCTGTTTCATTTTCTCCTCCCCATACACACAAAACGTTTCTGTTTGAATAAAGAGGCCGCATCATTCTTGTAGTATCTTTGGTACAAACCAAAAGCACCTTACACAGCACACTGGTGTCACCCAGTCCCTACACCCCGAGCCTGTTCCTACAGAACACACACAGGAAGAAGCTTTTCTGTGGTGGGGACAGCTCTCCCCTCCAACCTCCAAAGTAACATCACAGTTAAGTACAACATAACAGTGCTTTTTTGAAGCACTAATTTAAATTTTCACTCAGAATTAATGAAATGCATATTCTCATCCATTAGCTTATACCTATTATGGTTTCTTACCACTTCCAGGGCAGAGAAATGTGACCAGCAGCCCTGGGACACACTTTAGTGCTGCTCCCAGAGATGAATAGCTGTACAAGTCTCCACATCTGCTCAATGTTTTTTGAGGGGAGGGGGAAGAAAGGGAGAAGGAAAAGACAAATGGGAACTGAGTAAAAGGGGTCTTGCCTTTCTGTTCCGTGTTTGTCCATTTGTCATTTTTTCCTGATACATTTTGCCTACTGTATTAGAGGCTTCTTCAGTGGAAAGCAGTTCCTTACATGAACTCACTTGAACATTCTGGACTACASAGATTCTGTCACTGTGTGGCTGCTGCCTCGCAGCTGAGGAAGTTAAAGGGTGAGCTCTGAGCATCATCATCAGCCCTAGGGCTCTTGGAGTCTCTGAGACAGTCTGCCAGGATGTCCTGAGGATCCYTCAAGAACACCACCAGAACAGTGATATTGTCACTGGATCCATTTTCCTTGGCAGCAGCCACCAGTCTTTCTGCTGCGTTGAGCCCCACTCCTTTGGTCTGCATCAAATGATCCAGGACCAAGTCTACAACCTCATGGGGCTTGATGGAATCAAAGAATCCATCACAGGCAAGGAGCAAGTAATCTTCTGAGCCAGTCAGCTCGAAGGAATCTCCATCTGCATCACCAGAGATGTAGGGCTTCTGGCATATGTCACCTGGCACAAACAAAAAAGCAAAGGCTTTATTACTTCAGATGGAAACTGTTCTTCACCCACCAATTACTTTTATCATTCTCAAGGACAGCCAGATCATGTTTTAGAGCTACCTGGTGCAGGACAAGAATAGACAAAAGCTATGGAATAGGCATGGAAGACTTTTTTTTTCTTTAAGAACACTTCAAACCTACCTCAATTCAGTGGATTTCTAAGGAGTTACTGAAATTTATGTTCCTCTAATATTCAGGAAATTTTTTTCTCTCAGAAATATATTTGTGCAAGGAGATAGGCCTTCATTTTGCAGRTGTGCCTCTTGTACAGCCTTCAAAATGCCATGAAAATAAGATTTTTTAGCTATCCAGATATACACAATGCCCTAASAATCTACTCATTGTGTTYAGCTTATCAGTTTTATATGGATATRCTTACTAAACATGGGTTGTTACTGATCCAAATAGCATTATATAAATTCCATACTAATCTGCTTCCACTCATACATTACATATATCTACTATATTGTCCAGGTTTTTTTTCTCTTTTTACCCTAATTGGCAATTAGYAAAGTAAGTTTGTTTAATAAGATTGTAAGAATACTACAATTAAAAAGCCCCAAATTGCTGAATATTGAAGGAGAATGCAGTGATTTGACTTAAGCAGAAAGATCTGCAATCAGGAGAAAGATACATTCATATTAAAGTGGACAAAAAAAAAACCTCACAAATCAGACATTCAAGCATATAAAGGCTAGATAAGCATTTCTTGCTTCCTCCCCTTTTACAAATTAAATGCTGCACATTTGTTAAACTACTGTAAAACATTACAGTAGTTTAGGCATTTATAAGAAGCAAAAAAAACTAAGTAGTAGGGGAAAAAAAGGGACTATCACAGCTAGTAYGCAAAAGAAAACATTCTATGCTCATGGTAAAAGATGATGTAGCTGCAAGCCATGTAAGCCTTGCCTTATGGAAAGGACAGYAAGTTGTTTACTATTGGTTTGATGCTGAACAAGACACCATTTACAGCAAACAGTCTCAGGTGGAGTGCTTGAATGTGATGGTGTTTCTCACCAATTGCTCTGGAAACAGCCAAGGTACCATTAACCCGCCAGCAGTCCATATAGGTCACACAGCCACCCAGAGTCTCAATCCGTGCTCTCTCATCCTGAAAAACAGTGGAATATATTTTTTATGTTGCTCCAGCAGSTTCTGTACTTCTACAATGCGTATAGCAAATACACATATTAGAATTTAGCACAGTAACAGGCACTTAGGATTACTGGAAACAAGCAACTACTTTCCACCCCTGCTCTGGCTTGTCCACACAAAAGCAGAATTCTCAAGTTTTTGTATCACCATATCCTTTTCCATATGGATGAGTAAATTTTCCTGCCATGTCTTCCCATTCCATACAAGAATTGGGTCAATATATAAATATTCAGAATCAATACATGATAATTAGGCTAAGTAACAATAGCCTTTGCACCTTTAACTACTCAGTTATTACAAATATTTATGCAATGAAGGCAAAGGGTCATGCAATGCCAGGTAAACTTGCAAGGTGCCCATCCAATTTAATGAAATAAAATACCTGGCTATTTAAAATAKATAGGAAATGCAATACACTTTAAGCCAGTTAGGCCAGTAGATTGGCTTTAGCTTTTAAACAACAGTACTGCATACAATAAAAGACTTGCATTATGCTAACATTTTAAACTGCTCTAAATCTCAAATTACTAAGACACTTTGTAAGAGGCAGATAAAAATTCACAAACAAAAATCCTGCGGAAGTCTTTAATTACTGCAAATTTTGAACAGACAGTCTGAGCAGGAACTGAAGTCAGGACTATCAGTACTACTCATTAATACTTTTAAGCAGGCAAGGTGTAGGGATCACCTTGTCAAGACACAAAAGTGGATGCAAAACAAGAAATTGTTAATTCCATTCATCCTACCACACGATGCATGTAATTATGTAAAGCACCAAACATTTAAAAAAGCTTGACTCCRAAAGGTTTCAAGAGAGAATCTGACATGACACACTTAAGAGGAAAAAACAAGTCAGACTTACTTCTCTTTCTGGTTTGTGAGGTTCCATTAATGTCACAGCTTTCCCTTGCTGCACAAGCATCACCTGAGAGTCCCCCAGCCATGCTATGTGTAGCTTGTTCCCTACAATCAATGCAGACACGCCTGTTGTGCCACTCCGCAGCTTCTACAGARGGAAAACAGCTGTGTCAGGTGAATATTCAACAAGCTACACTAGGATACATGGCAATATTGAAAACAGGTTTAATCACACTAAACTAAGTAGATTAGACCTATTAATCCTAATTCTGGTACCCGAAAGAAAGGTACAAGATAGGAAAGAGACTTGAAATAAACTATTTATAAGCATATTTTCTAGTATGCAGATGATTAATATTGTCTCTTATGTTCTTCCTTCTCTTGCTATTAATTCCAAAACTGATGTAGGAGACTAAGAGCCCTGTTGTTTAAAACAGCCACATGCAGAAAGGCAAGAGGATCTGAATTTCAGTAGAATGAACATTTCACAAACACACACAGGTCTCCCCTATACCCTTCACATTCTCTATTCTAACACTAGCAACTATAGATATCTTTCTCCACACAGCCCCCTTTATCCTTGGGTATTTAAAGTAGAATGTCAACAAAGGAAAAAAATCTAACTGTCCTAGATTCCCTGTACAGACTAGTGAGAGTCAGACCTCATGAAAATGCTGGTCCCTCTTTCATACCTCACTTACAGAAATGAAGATATTTATACTGCTATAATAGTTCTCAAACTGTGTAACATAGATGTGAAGAAAAAAATGTTCATTTACCAACTCAATTCAAAGATGATCAATAAGTTTAATGAACTGAGGAGTCTGATTTAAGTCATAGAACACATTTTTCACTTACAACCACCAGCAACACTAATGGTGGGACAAGAAAGAGGAAGATAGCAACCAGATTATAGGAAGGGAGAAAGCTCTTTTCCAGGTAAGAGGCAGGACAACAGAACATCTAGAGGMTGCCCGATTTAGACAAAGAGGCACCAGTATTGTCTGAAATAATTGGTATGTCAGAATCATTTAAGTCACTTTAGCACTTCATTTCAATTACTCATCTTGAATTCCCAAGCACTGGTTTTCCTCAAAATAAGAAATAATTTGATCAAACACAACCTTTATACGTAGCATAATTTCATAAAGAAGTCAGTGATTCAAATAAACTGTACTGTCAGAATTTTCTGGATAATACCACATTAAATAACATTGAGAACTGTTGGACAAATACAATGGAATTAATCTCTACCCACTCACCTCTCTTTTGGCTTTAAAAAGAAACATTTCATCTGTCTTCTGGAAAGAGCATTTCAAGGCCTCAGCTGGATTCTTAACAATCTCTTCATGTAACCCAACGTTCACATGTAAGTGGGTAGCTGAGTAATTGGCAGCATCCACTCCACCATGGCCATCAAACACAGCAAAGTAAGCTCGATCAACATCATCCTTTTGCAGGCAGGGAGAGAGGGGAAGACATTCATGTTCAAAACCAAAATAGCTCACAGACTGGTACCAACAAGCAAAGATTCTTTATTCAGGGCTTTCTTCCATACAAACRGCAATTTAAGTCTGTTTACATGTGYACAAAAATKGACAATATGGGTATTTTGCAGGCAAATTACTTTTCTTTGTTTGCTGTTAGTCACTTAATGCCCTTGAAAATAACCGGAATTGAAGCAGCAGGCTGCTGGTTATGTAGGCCCCTGGCAGTTTCATGAAYTGGCACTTGTACAACTCCCTCTTTCTGTACTTAATATCATAGAATGGTTGGGTTGAARGCTTCTTGTTCCAGCCCCGCTAGCTCAGGTTGCTCCAAGCCCCTCTCTTGTAGYCCTTTAAAGCACTGGAAATTTCTATAATAYGTCCCCAGAGCCTTCTCTTCTCCAGGCTGAACAACCTCAACTCTCTMAGCCTGTCTTCACAGCAGAGGTRCTCCAGCCCTCTCATCATCTTTGTGGCTTCCTCTGGACCCACTCCTAGCAGGTACAGTTCATTTTTATGTAGTAGGTCCTAAAGTGGGTCCTCTGCAGATGGGGTCTCACCAGAACAGAGCAGAGGGGCARGATCCKCTCCCTCAGCCTGCTGCCCTCAYTGCTTTTCATGCAGTCCAGGACACGTTTGTCTTTCTGGGCTGCAGGGACACATTGCTGGGTCACACRGAGCTTCCCATTAACAAACACCCCCAAGTCCTACTCCTCAGGGCTGCTCTCCATCAATATATATGTTGTATCAGYCACAAGAATATTGTGACAGCAACATAACACTAGGTGAACTTCCTATCTCCCTGTATCATAACTTATGTCATGAATCCCAAAGTCACAAGATCCTTCCCGCATCACTTCTTTATCAGGGCAGTAGTTGGCCCCCAGCAATGTGAGTCACTAAGTCCTTGCTCCAGTGCAGACACRATAAATAACTTATGGCAACAAATTCACAGATCATCCATCACCAGGCCTGTGCTTACAGCAATGCTAAAAAGCTGCCCAGCCAGCCTTCCCCACTGTGTSCAGACTTACTGATAGACCAAAGAGCTGATTGAACTCCGGGAGCAGGACGTGGCGATCCTCCATCTTGCGCCGAGCGTTGCGGATGGCGTGGATGGACACCAGCAGGAACCGTGTCAGTGGCCTCAGTGGTGGCAGCTGYTTCTGCCACTCGGAGCACACATCCCGCAGCTTGTTAAAAAAGCAGCGCTGCAGCGACTCCCCATCCAGCACTGACAGCACAGAGACAAAACAGTAACTGCTGTGTCCCACTTTCCTACACTACCACATCTTTTGACCTGTCTTTCCTTCAAGTTTCTTTCCCTRCAGCTACATACACACATGCAGCACTCTGCCTTTACAGGCTCTGCAAGAATTAAAATGAGGTCCTGAGAATAATGTGGAGAGAAAGTTGCAATGGAAAACAGCATAACATTAATGATAATACCAGCTTCTTTACTTGCTAGTTCTTTTTTAGAATAGAGGCTTATCAAGCAGGTGCTTACACTATAAAAATCATAAAGATCCTAAAAAAAAACATCAGTCTAGCATATTAGATATAAATATTATTATGTAAGTAAAATTAGTAAGATATAGTAGTAGGAGTTCATCCCCATTGAAAAATAAAGGGAACCATCAAGTGGGCAGAAAAACCTGCAAGATGAGATTGCTGTTGTCTTGGACACAAGGGTTGAAAAAGCACTGGCATGGCTTTGGGTCAGGTTATGTCCTACTGAACCACTTTCACTGAAAAAACAAGGAAGTCTGAGAATGTTTTGCTGAGGTCAATAGCTCAACTCACAGYTGAGCTGAACAGATTAGAACTTTAAGCTGTTATCTTTATCTTTTTAAATACTCATGGTTGTAGGAGTTGGAGGGACAGAACACTTCCGCTACTCTCCRGCTTTGTCATTACAGAGCAGAACTGCAAACACCCATTGGGCATAGTGTGAAAAGCTCCAGCCAGACACTCAAATCCTTTTCTGGATRGATCCCAAAGATCAATTAATCCAAACCTATTGTTCATCAGACTGAATGGCTTGGTGCTTGCCATTGTGTCTAGCTTTGCAACAGTCTCCAACCAAACAGGTAGCAATTTAAAGCTTGTTATTTGAGTAGGAAATCTGCCTCAATGCTAAATCAACTAACTTCAAAACACACTTAAAAGAACATTGATAGAACAAAAATAATTTGCTGGTCATTAAGGTATATTCTAAAGGACTGCAGTCCATGAACTATCCTTCCCATAACCATTTTATCCTGACTSCTGCTAACACTGCTAGCATTAATACTTCCCCAGAATTTCTTTTTCTAACTCCTGGTTCTCAACCATTTTTTTTTCTCAGCAACAGTGACTGACCAGCTTCAGATGCATCTCTGGGCTTGGAGATTGAAAGCTTAAATTACAACACACAGATTAACAGCCACTACTTATTAACCAAAATTACTTTTGACTTGCTTAATGTGTAGGTGTTAATGGGCAAGCTATTAAAATATTTAAATATTAAATCATCCCATATATAAAATAACTAAATAGGACAGCATCTTAGACAGCCTTGTCCACAGCTATTAGTTTACATATTTGTAAATGTCTGGAATAATACTGACCAGAAGGCACATMTTGCAGTTTAAATATTAAGCTTGTGAAGTCTGACAAAGAATTTTGTACCTCAGCAGCAGAAATGCTTCTGCAGTGTACCACAAACAGTGGCATTCACACGTGCACACACACCACCCCCCATGCTGCTTTTATATAATCACTTCTTTTTCATTCCAATAATGCCTTTTTTTTGGCAATTTTTACTGCAGTGCAGGAAGASAGTCCATATAGTGCTGTAGCACAAAGAACATCTTTCCTTCTYGTTGTACAGTTATAGTGATGTAATAGCCAGTACAAGATAGGGGAAAACAAGCACAGTCCATGGGTGCAGAAAAATGAAGGCCTTTAAAGTAGCTGTTCCTTGTTGAGATCAGGCAATGCAAGTATCCGAACAATGAGAAGATTTCCATCCTGTTTGAGAGGGAAATGAATGCTCAATAGASATTTGATCTAAATGGCAATGGTGACACAAGAACGAAGAAACAAAATAAGACAGGAATATGTAAAATGGAAATTAAAGAAGGTTTCAACCATCAGAACAGGGAGGATTCTGGGCCACTTGTCAACAAGGAATAGTGAGAGAGAATGTGAACTAGTTCAACATTAAACTTATCCAACAATTTTTCAACTTTGCCTGTGCTATCTTAAAAGTAGACTTCAGTCCTATCTTTATGGCCTTCAGAGTAAAACAGCAGCCTGAATACTCTACAAATGACCGCAACATATAGTAACCAGAGATATTAGATGCTTGTTTGAGTCCTATCAAGTTCTTCATTACTCACTGTTTCTAAACATTATTTCTTTATCATGCAGATAGGGTTTGCTTTGGTTGTGGGCCCAAGCTTTACATAAGACCCAGAATGACAAACGGTAATCCTAGGCTCACAAATATATAGCAGTTCATGTCTTACCTTACTGCTAYAGTTCACCTCAAAGATAATTACATGGTACTCAACAAAGAGTCTGCAGCAGAGTGACTGCAGGATGCTCTGCTAAGAGTTTCCAACTGCTTTGTGAAAGCCTACGCAATTATTCTAGGTGAGTTACAATATGCTGCTTCTGATCTTCCTGTAGAGGCTACAGTGAYCTGGTCACGCTCATCTCGTATTTGCCAGCTTCCCCTCAAGGCAGAATCCTGACCCGGGCCAGGTTAGCTGCAGTAAGTGAAGGCACAACCACTAAGGTGAGGGATGACATAATCAGGGTGCAGCATGACTTAATTAACTGAGTTCCCCCTCCTGCTGTTTCAGACTTGGATGTGAATGCTGAAAGAGGCTTCTGGRAAGTGTCATATCCTGGCCATTGCAGTGCTCTGTTAGGGGCACAAGGAACTGCCTCTCAATTCATCGCAGGGAAATGGAAGGATGAGTATTTCCTCTTACAGAACAGACTGGTTTGCCTAAGACATCCCTCTCCAATTTTATCTCCTACTCTGCCTGCATCCTGCTCCATTTAAATTCTTGGCACTGGGACTGAAGGTTTGGTGAAGTCTAATGTTAAACACTTCAGCACGTAAATGCAGTAGGACCATCTGTTACACAAGGCACAAACCCAGTACTCAGATACCAAGGTCTATTCTCTCTCCAGTTCACTCAGGAGAAAATGCAGGCATCAAAACAGACACATGCATCAGGCTTTTCTTCCCTCAGCATCCCATCTTTTACAGGTAAGAGTGGGAAGAAGAGAAATCATTGATAAAGACAGACTATTGAGAAACTTGCCAAGAAAGAGATCGGGAGTTCAGGATGTTCARGTTGTGGAGAAGCCAGAGTCTGGCTGCCAAGACAAAAGCAAGATAGTTTATATGGGTGAATTGAAGGTGTTGCTGTGGCTGTACAGCAACTGTAGTGATGTCAATGTCAAAACACAGGAGTAATTAKCTAAKRTCACCCTACTAAAGGGAARARGGCACACTCTTCCTTTCCAGAAAGYCAACCCACAGGATCAGTCAGGGCTTCAGACACTGTGTTTGCATGTTGCCCGCAGAACTAGCACAGCTTCCTTTCATCCCAAAGAAACACAGCAAAAGCAAATGAAGTTCCATTCACTGCTGCTTGCCAGWCAGCCTAACCAAATAAATCTGGGAAACATTTCAAAACACCAAAGTCTTCTGACAAACAGCCTCTGGGAAAACCACAGATGGAAAAAAAGYATACTTACAGGTGAACCTTTCCTCATCTCCTTCTCCTTCTGTTGGCACATTTTGTAGCTTAAATTCAGTCAAGTCTGTTTGAAGAACTTCATCAACTGCAGCATGGATCAATGATGCTGCAAGAAGTGGTRATACACCTCTGCTGGTAAGAAAAGGAATGGAAAGCAAAATAGACTGCATTAGTTTAAACTGAGCTACACCCTCAMCAGCGTATGGCTGTTGACCTCAGACTTAGAAAGCATCACAYAGAATAATACCAACTTCATTAGTAAACTWGTAGAGGAAACCATATGTTCAATATTTATTCACACAAATCTTTAGTAAGATCCTCAGTTAGACAACAGCTTTCTCAAGAATGCAAAGAGGAAGAAGTGTATGAATCATATTTTCAAACTGTTGCCTCACACTCCAGTCACAGATGGAACCTCCTTCTCTTGAGCTCTCAGATGAGAACTGCTACCTTCAATTCCAGCCTCCAAACACACACATTTTGTTTCTACTCACTACACARCATTTCCTGCTTGCAGTCAACAGTCTCACCACAGACAGTAACAAGATCTCAACATTGTGGTAGATGCGAATCTCTACAAAGGTTACCTGGAATTCTCCTTCCTTTCATGAGAAGTCATGCTTAGTGCTAAACTACAGCCCTTATCATTCAGTTTATTCTGACTGGAAATTTYCCAAAGAAACCATCCAGGAAAAAAGTACAAAGAGTTGAGACTGGGAACTAGGATAAGAAGCGACTCCAAGATTTGTGATTTAGGTGGAGGTTTTAGGTAGGCATCTAAAAGACAACAACACTACATGATCTGCTCACCCTCTACTGATCACTCAATGCTTTGTTCAACCCACATGCATTATAAGAAGCACATGCTTGCTATAATGCTTTTGGATCTGTAAACAAATAACTCCCATGCAACTCTARAATGAGGCTACTACAAAGTAACTCTTATATTCACTATAGTCTCACTAATAACTACAGTACACAACACATGTTCCAGTCATTTTCTATGAGCACAATGAAAAATAAGAATCAACATCCATAAAAAGCCACTTTATCCATGGTTCATGGAGTGTTTGATTCTCACAAAGTATCAAATTACAYGTTCAAAGCAAATACCACATTAAGGCAACTACAGCAAGTCAAGGACAGGACCGTTTTGCCAGGAAACATTTAGAAAGTTCTGCATAAATCTGGTTTGCTGGGGAGTATGAAATGGCGGGAGCCACTGGTCTGTGATGTTGCTCAGCAATGACTGGTCTGTGCCTACAGAAGGGCAGGGAGGGGAAGACCGCAGGGTTTTAGATCCCTGTGACAACAAGCTGAAATGCATTTTGCCATTGTGCTCCTGAAAGAGAGGCCTTGTCACATCCTCACAGCCGTGTACGAGTACCTCCCGTGGCAGCAAACAGAAAGCATTGTGTCAGTCAGCAGGCTCCAACACAGGCCTGCTTTATGCTACACATTCTGTGGCAGTGACGGCCCAATTTAATGAGTTATTTCGGTACTTCAAATAGATGGCAATGTGTTTGCAGTCCTTTCAGTGCTAGCTGCAGTCATGTCACATCAAGGGAAAACAGAATGTGGCTTTTTATTTCTTTTTTAAGGCTAATATGTTTAGGGGAGTCAGTTCCTTTCCCAGCTCAGTTAAAGTAACAATGCTCAATTATAAAGGCTCTGACACTGACAGACAACATTTTAAAAGGTCAGGCAAAAAATACATCCAAAACAGAAATGGCAGCCCCCGCCCTCCAAAATCCTGCTTCCTGTTCTTGTTTGCATAAGAGAAAAAGAAAGTAATACGAAAATATAAGCCCTACAAACAATGTCAGATGTGTTGTTGATGCTGCTGAAAGTCAGAAGCTTTAGTCAAAGCACGTTTCAGCTCCAAGAATAGAGACAAGAAACATTAAGAAAACAGCTATGCATTCAGCTGCACAGTGAGAGTCACAGCTTCAGACATCTTCAGAATTCCTCTGCTACATTGGAGGAAAAAAATAAAATCTACCCTGGTTTCACAGCTCAGCATCAGAAGAGGGCCTAATACTTTGATTTTAAACTTCACAGATTCCTGCTTTCCAGAGTCCAGATTGCTAAACTGGGTCCATAAAAAGCAGCTTAAGCAAAAGGAAATCTACTAAGTGCTACAATGGACAAGTCCTGTATAAACCTCTGTTTACAGGATGTCTGTAACAAAGTTTRCAAATTATGTCACATCCTGCAACTTTTTCCAGTTGCCACCTAGTTCCTAAAAAGGAAATTCAGYGATTCCTCAGCACTGATATGCTTCATTCAGCTTTGCTGCCTATGTATTTYCTCCCCCTCCACAGTTCTGTAAATCTGCAAGAAAGTGGTTGTTTATTGGGATTTTGTTATGCAGTCAGCAACATCAAACAATTGATTCTGACACACTAAAAAAAGATAAAAGTCTAAAAAAGAAACCCCAACCTATTTAGTTCAATCTCAGTTCTGAACACAACATATTTGTGATTACTTTATAAACTCTTTATTATAACMTTACCATATTAGCAAGACTGGTTTTTACTTGGGCTCAGGTAAATGGAGCTCCAAGGAATGGCATCTTTCATTCAGGTTCAGTGTTCACCAGTTCTAAGTTCATCTTCTAAATCAGAGCCTTGAAGAGTTAACAAAATGTGTCATTAAAAAAGAATAAGAAATGCTGCCTTTAGTTGAGAGCTACAAGGTCTCACTTGGCTGGAGAGTATCTGGAAGCAGCCACAGTACCTATGGCAACCAGTGCAAAAGAAACCCACTGCAATTACCATTATAGACTTCAAACCTTTCCTTTAAGCAAAGAAGAATGTCACATTGTTAAAATCTTCCCTTCAAAGAAGCCCAAGACACCCTGGTGATGAGCTGAACCAAGMATAATTTAATCTCCACGAATCAGAAGGAACACTGTAGCTGTTTCCTAAGRGGAAAACCAACTGTATTGGGAAGAAGAGGAAAGCTGGTGGGGTGTGTTACATGCAACGGATGGCACTTTAAGAGACTCTTGGAAAAAACACATCAGCCCCATTTCTATGACACACACCAACACTAAAGACTCAGCCTTAGCACACACAGGCTAGTGGTAAACAGACTTTGAATTTCTTTGCTGCAGGCTATTTCTTTGCTAACATAAAGGGTGTGTTTTGACCACAATAAAAATATTAAAAAAGAATTAAAACATGTTGTAACAGTGCAGATGAGGCATTGCAGCTTCACCAGCTGAGGCTGCAGCATGGAGTTCATATCTTCCAGCCACTCAYAGTATACTACAACCTCATCTCAAAAACCTGAGTACAGATAAGAGATGYAAGTTAAAGAGTAAAGTAATACTTRCGCTAATAAAGAACACACTTAMATTTATATGCCACCCTCCTCCTTGAARGATTCTGGACTACTGGACACATGCAGTACTGGTAAAAGGAGCTATGCAAAGCTTCAGCTGATATACATACCTCTAGGCCAAAATAAAGTTACACACGGAAGTAGAATGCAACCATGGTATTTTGCATACTCTAGATTTGGCATGAATTACAGAACAGAACTCACTTCTCTTGTTGTTAGCTGCAATACAATTTAGTTACCTATTTTATTTCACTTCAAAAGACTAGCTGTCACGCCACCAGTGGTAACTGCAGGCCAGAACAGCCCTGTACAATCCTCTTTTCCTTTCAGAGTTGCATATACACATATGTTAGGAAAAAAGAAGTGCTATCTCTGCTAGCACAAGCTCTAGCATAAGTCAGCTGCAACTGCCTGATGGCCAAGGAAAGATACATTTGTGCCCTGATTTGCTCCATGGGCTCTGTAACAGTAGAGGATCACACAGCACAGCYCTGCCACGGGAGCAAAGCCTGTCACCGTGGGCTCCGTGTGTGTTTCTAGCATGTTACAGCTCTATCAGCACTGGGTTTAGTGCAGATCTGCAAATGCCAGCAGTTCTCCAGCAAGTGARAGATCCTCTCACACTGCCAAAATAATAGCAGGTCACAAGTTTCCTCATAAACAAAAGCTGCTTGTATTCAGTATTTTCTCCCCAATCTGCTACTTTTATTTCCCTTTCTATTCTTATAATCAACTACAGAATGTTTCCACTCAAGCAGCTCTAAGCATTAGCATTTATTAGAGCAGTACCCAGAGTTCCCAGGGTGATGGTGGCCAGAAAAGTACAAATATATATCCATTAAGGGGAGAACATCTGACATCCTACAATGCACAGGAAGTTGTTTCTTGTGTTAATGACATCAGGTCATTAAAGGAGATGAACAAGAGGAAATCAAAACAAATACATAAACWATGCCACACACAGAATTTCCATCTCTTATGGTTACACGAAGCAGGTTYTCCCCAGCTTTTCCAGTTTTCTTATGAAACTAACAGAAGCAGCAGCTTTAGAATCCAGAATCCATCTGTTCAGGCCCTTCAGTCATTACTGAACAGTTTTTATACAAAACGTGCAATGAAGAGTCACCTGCTACTTCCATTTCATTCTCAGCAGGAAGAAGAACCACACAGGAGAACAGGAGAGAGAGGCTTAATTCCATAAAAGCCACTTTTCAATTAAACCTTAAACACGTTTCAAAATTGAGTATTTATCTTGCAACAACAACAGAAAGGGTGTTTCACACAGGTTACGAGAACGAAATATGCAAACATCTTCCCAAGTAATGAGAAGTACCAGTGCATTACAATAAATGGTACAAATTAGCAATCAAGAAGTTAAGTTTTAGGGGATTTATTAAAAGCAGAGGTCACAGTAGGTAGTAGTTTTCACAAAGTAAGAGACTAATGAGTTTTAAGGAGAGAGTCAGCAAATTAGAGGCAATGTAAGATTTTCTCTTCCTCTTCCTCATGCATAAATCATGTAAAAACATAAAAATATCAGAATTGCTSAATTAACTACTCTAAAAGCACGCAATGCTGGAAATAAAGATGCCAGGGCCACACCTTGGGTGTGAGCACTRCAGTGTAAAGCACAAAGATACAAAACAGGATGCTGAGGCAATAGCAGATCACTTAGGAAGGGGCAGAACAGGAAGCCCAAGTCTCTTAACTGTTGTTGTAGTAAATCGTCTCAAACAGGAAGGCTGCAGGAATTTYACATTGTTCTTTGGATATGTCACAGGATGGCCATACAAGTTTCAGCTCCTATCAAGGAGAAGACAAAATTTCTATATTTGGGGGTCTGATTTCATCTCATGTTCTGTTGTAGGGAAAGTCAGGAATATTTCAAGTTAATTTCTAAAGCTTTGGACATAACTAATGGCCTCTTCATTCTCAATCACCTATTTTCACAGACTATCAGAACACAGCTATTACCCAAAAGTGTATGTTAATTAAAATTCTGCAAAGCAAGAATTACTTAAGCCTGCTCCAATTCTTCAAAATGTTATGTATGTGTTTAGCTGCAGTTAGSAGCAGGCAGTTCCCTTGATTTAAAYGAACTATTCAAAGTAGAAATATCTKCAAAGCTTCAGATTAGTGATTTAGGGGCAAGGCCTGCCAGGGAGCAAAAGTGGTTTGCTGTTTTAGCTGGTGTTTCCTCAYTGGACCCAACTAATGTTATTCCTTAGCCCATTCTCTTCTCAAGAGAAATCATGTTGGTAGTAGAGGAACAATGTTCCCATTGCAAAGGCACAAAGGTTTGTGCCTCCAAGCAACTGGAAGAATAAGCTAAACATTGCCATATGTTGTCTCATGAGCTGAGGATATTGCTGGATCTTTAGTGGCTCTGGATCTTTATTGGTTTGGGCCTTTCAGGGCACGGCCCACACATCTGTGCACGTGTGAATGAAGTACCTGACAACACAGAAATGAGAAGCAGAACAGCAGAACTGTGTGTCAAACTCGATTCCCAATAACACTTTGATCTACAGAAAAATCCTTCATCAGAACTAATCACCATGTAAAATACATTCTGTGATGCTGGAGTGTTAGAGAAATCTTACATTCAGGAAACAGAGAACAAGCATCAATGCCAGAAGTCAGCAAGGTACATCCAATAACATCTCCATAGTGTTAAACCTATATAGACTGACACAGTGTTGTTTGAGGGTGTGTATTTTCCACCGAGTTGCCATCCATGTGTTTGGGATGCTGCTGCCATGACAGCCTGCAGATCACTGGACCTCAACTACAATGACCTCACAGGCAGTCACTAATCTGGCACCATTTATTCATCTTCAATAACTTTTGTTCAAACATTTAAATGACTTCTAATGTCAGCCCTCCCCCTTATTTTTCCATTTCTTAAAACTTTTAACATGCTTCTTTCTCTTATTTCCTTACTATTCTCTCATTTGTGTTATTGAGGATTCACAACAATGGAAAAGTTCATTTAGCCTTCAAAGCAGCATTTTGAGTTGATCTACAGTAGCAAACATGGGAAAGAAAATATAACGTTGGCAATTTCTCACACAGAGACTTCATATTTAGTTCCTAATTACAGGGATTATGAGAAGAAGGCCTGCAATTTYAAAACACAATATTCCTGTCTTGGCCTTGGGCTGTACCAGTCTTTTCCTCCACATGCAAGAACTCAGCCTACCCAAGAGGAAAATGCAACCTTTTTGCAACTGCAAAATAAGGTTCCTYGTTGTCATAGGAGTCCAAAACTGAGCTATAAACCTGCAGAGATCCCTACATTTGACACTTCACTACACTACACCCAAACACAGAGCTGCCTGCAGCCAGCCACGACAATTTATAAAAACACTTTCCTTATCTATTTCTGCTTTTCACAAATATTTTGCAAAAAGAAGGATAAATAAGTAGAACACTGCATTTCCACTTCAATTCTGCTTTACTTTCTTTAGTTAGTTTTGCGTTCCCCC